CAAGATCAGTAACCTTTGGCTGTGGTTATGAAGGTGGCTACTGCTTCATATTGTGTTTCTTTAATTACAATCTATGAAAGTATCCAAAAGGCTTTCCTTAGGAGAGAGAGTGAAGCCCCTTTCTGAAATCCAATGTATTCAAATTTGACCCTGAATCTCTTTGATTTGCTCTTCCAGTAACCTTGCTAAATATGGGAGTGAAGTTGACGTGATATTTTGCAATAGATAAGAGAGAATTTATGAAGGCAGATGTAAACATCATAACTATAATTTTGTGAAGAGCAAGAGTTACCTGTCTGGAAGGACAGCAGTGTGTCTCAGACATTCCAGGGAGCTAAGTTGCTAAAAGAGAGGGCAGAAGTGAGGACCTAAAGTGGCTATGAGTTCTAGAGTAGATAAGGCTACAGTTTATAGAAGAGCATCAGTTTTAGTGATTCTGAGGAGTGCATGGCTGCAAGATTAGAACATGGGGCTAGAACTAAGATTTTTACTTGGCAAATGAGCCACAAATCCTCTGTTTTCCCAGGTCTAGAATCCAACAGTTGTGAACACCTCAGTCTGTGTGATGCCCTGTGGTCCTGCTGATGCTGTTACCTCTAGAATCCCTCTCCAAGCTTCCACCTGGCAAACATCTGTTCCCCCTCTAGTTTCATTGCTAGTTTTACATCCTCTAACAAATCTTCCCTACATCCTCCTCCCCTCTAGGTCCAAACTTTCCAGGTATTTTTCCCCACTGAGAACTTATACTGCCCATACAGACTTGTGCCCAAATCATTTTATTACATAGAATTTTGATGGACTTGATTGCTGATTTTTTGCCTCCTACTTTAACCTTTCTAAATTCAAGTTTTCATATCTGTAGATGTAAATAATACATATGCAAGGATTTGACAGGAAATGAACGTAAAGCACTGCATTCATTATTGATTGCTGCGTAACAAATTACCCCCAAACTGAATGGCTCAATCCAACAACAGACACTGTCTCCCAGTTTCTGTGGCTCAGGCATTTGTGAGCCCGGGCAGTTGGGCAGTCTTGGCTTCTGTTTTCTCATGGCAATGCAACTAAGATGTTAACAGGAGGTATAGGCTCTTCTTCTTGTCTTCCTTCTTGGGAAGGTCTTGGGCTTGCTAGGCAGGCATTGTATTACTTGAGCCACACCTGCAGCCCTTCTTGCTGTAGATATTTTTTCAAATAGGATCGCGATTCCCTGCCTTCCTCCCCTCCCCCAACTGGGCTGGACAATGATCCTCCTATTTATACTTACCATCGAGTTGGTAAGTATGAACTGCCACATCCAGCTTTTTATTGGTTGAGATGGGGGTCTTTGCCAACTTTTTGCCTGTGCTGCTCTGGAACGATAATCCTCCCAATCTCTGCCTTTTGAATGGCTAGAATTATAGGTATGAGCTATCATGTCCTGCTGGCAGGCTGTACTTCTACAGTGTCTCAGACAGTTGGCTATAGGGAGGGGGTTTCAGTCCCTCTCCATGGTATCCTCCCCCAGGGAAGGGCTTCTTGACTGTCTTTAACTCGAGGCAGCTGGCTTTCGCTAGCGGGATCCTAGGGAGAGCGAGGTGGAAGCTGCATTGTCATTCATGTCTTAACCTCAGAAGTTACACACCCTTATTCCCACAAATCCTATTAGTTACACTTGTCAGCCCTAATCAGTGCAGAAGGATTGTACAGGAGCACATGAATACCAGGAGGTAAGGCTCAGAGGAGTCTGGCTACCACAAGTACTTAGCTCAGTGCTTACCGAAAGAGAGCCTATCATAGAGGCTCAGCAAGGAGTAGCTACTATTCTTACTAGTTTATAACATCAGTATTTCCATGAATCCCTTGAGGGCACAGACTATATATTTGGCCTGCTTGTATCCCAGTGGCCTAGATTACCATTGTGTGTACTGGTAGGCCCCTACTAAATGTCGAATAGATGAGTGGAGGCTTGGAGAGAATTAGTTTGGTGTCAGGTTCAGAGTTAGCAGAAGTACCTGCCCTCTTCCAGGGCTTGAACTCTGGGCCTAGGTGCTGTACCTAGGCAACTTTTGCTTACGGAGAGCATTCTACCACTTGAGCCACAGCACCATTTCCAGCTTTTTCTGAGATTAATTGGAGAAAAGAGTCTCACAGGTTTTCCTGCCTGGGCTGGCTTCAGATTGTGATCCTCAGATTTCAGCCTCCAGAGTAGGTAGGATTACAGGTGTGAGCCACCCGGACCTAGTGGGAGGTAATTCTTACCCAGATGTTAAGCAGGGTTCTGTAACTCAGTTCTGTGTCTGGAATTCCCCACTGCTAAAGAATCAAGATCTGAAGGTTTCTCCTATTTTGTTTTTGGAGTGGATGCCAAGGATGCTTGATAACAAAACTGCAGGCAAGGGAAGCTCTTACCATATTTTTTTTCCTGGATGCCTTGATTTTTCAGTTTGGTAAGGTAGTGGTCCCATCACCATTATCTAAAGAGTGATTTCACTGCTGTTAAATCCCAGGGCCAAAGCAGACATGGAAAGCCCTTGATATTTTTGCTCGTATTCAAATTCCTATCTTGATGACTCCCTTTCCCTTCTACCAGGTACAATTTCCCTTTCGAGGATACTCTGATGTACATTTTCTTAGAGTTCATTCAAAGGTGCACAGAGATTCATGTCATGCAGCCCTCCAAGCAGGACAGGGTCTGAGTCTGTGAGGTAATTGATACTCTGGGCAATATTGAGTTTCCAGACATCTAGTTCAAGCTGGAAGCTTTGTCCCCACCTCTTGGGCTTGAAAATTCACTGATCGTCCCTTTCCCACAGACAGGGCCTTCTGTCCTTACTGGTGTTGTGCTGTATGCCCCATGTACCAAAAGGAAGCCAGTCCCTTGCGGCTGCCTCTCCAGGAGTTGCAGAGACAAAGACCATGCAGAAGCAGGTGTCCTCCCAGAGATTCCCATGTGGATCACATTTCCACTGGTCAGGGGTTCCGTTTCTCCCACAGTTCCTTGAAATCCCAAATAAGTGATTTTAAAGTCTGTCTGTCTGTCTGTTGTTGTTGATCATGAGGTTTGAACTCAGGGCCTGGACACTATTCCTAAACTTTTTCGCTCAAGGCTAGAGTTCTACCACTTTGAGCCACAGCACCACTTCTGGTTTTCTGATGGTTATTTGGAGATAAGAGTCTCACAGGGACTGTCCTGCACTGGGTGGATTTGAACTGCAATCCTCAAATCTCAGCCTTCTGAGTAGTTAGGATTATAGTTATGAGCCACTAGCACCTGCCTCTTTCTCCCATTCTTAGAACTAGGATGAATAGGAAAAGAAGGAAAGTCCTTTTCTCTTTTTTGTGAATACAATTTTTTAAACTTTTAAAGTGGTTATTAAAAAGGTGATATACAGAAGGGTTACTGTTTCATTGAATACAATTAAAATATATATTATCTTTAAGTAGTTGTACACAGGGTTTCAATTCAACATGCCAGTTTGTCAGATTAATACATGCCTCTTCTGCTCAACGCTAGCACTCTACTACTTGAGCCACAGTGTCACTTTTGGCCTTTTCTGTTTATGTGGAACTGAGGAATCAAACCCAGAGCTTCATGCATGCTAGGCAAGCACTCTACCACTAAGCCACATTCCTAGCCCTTGCATAAACTTCTTTTATGACAGTTATTTCACTTTCCATTAAGATTTAACTGGAAGGAAAACATTTTCAGTAGAGATAGCATGAAGAAATATGGCAAGTGGGAAAGTTGGAGCCTCTCAACCTAGATGCTTAACATCTGGGTAAAAATTACCTCTCCTCTGAGCCTATCACCAAACTAACCCTCTCCAAGCCTTCACTCATGTATTCAGTGTTTAGTAAGGATCTACCAGCATACTCAGGACATAGAACTGGGCAAATGTGACTTCATTAGTTTTCGAATTTTCCCTTCACAGAGCTGTGGAAAGAATGGTCATTCTTGTTCAAAACCCTAGCCAAAGTGGTTTCTTCGAGATGAAAACACAGAATAGAGTTGTTGTTGTTTTTCTAAAAAAAAAAATCATTTTTGGGGAGGGAAGTCAAATAAAAGAGTTGACTTAAACTGTATAAATAAGTTAAAATACTTAATGACCAATTGCAATATTTTAAAAGATGCCAAAAAACACCGAATTTTGGGAAAGGAACTAGGAAGGAGCAGAAAGGACATGATGGAAAGACAGCATGGAAGTCAAATTGAGGAAGCAGGACTTTTAAGTGATTATTAGAAAAATTAACCATTGATCAACAAGCCAATAAACAAAGGGGCATAGCAATTAGCTTTGGGAAGCTAGGCTATATTGGGTAACTGTGGGTTTTATGATTAGTAACCCTTATTGTGCAATTAAGAGCATTGCTTTTGCATTGTTTCATTAAGTAAACAATCATTTAATAAGCACATGTTATATGCCAAGCTGTGATAGGTGTTGGGGACATAACACCTATGTAGCTTTATAGAGACGTGAAATATGGACTATGACTGTATGCAAATGCCCAGGGCACAGGGGAGATGAAAAGGCATGACAATTAAAGTTCATTGAGTGCTTTATAAGCACCACAGCCCATGGTTACAGCAGATATCTATTTTGAACCATATTTTAATCTTTATTTCTTGGCATATATATATGTATATGTATGCACACACATATATAATTTATTTTCTTCAAATCAACGACTTTTATCCTCTGCTATACATGTCACAGAAACAGGAATGGAGAATGGATCAGGGATGTTAAAAAAAAAAAAGAAGAAGAAGCATCTGGGCACCAGTGGCTCATGCCTATAATCCTAGCTACTCAGGAGGCTAAGATCTGAGGATCACGGTTCAAAGCCAGTCTGGGCAGGAAAGTCCATGAAACTCTTATCTCCAATTAACCACCAGAAAACTGAAGTGGTGCTGTGGCTCAAGTGGTAGAGCGCTTACCTTGAGCTGAAGAGTGCAGGGACAGCACCCAGCCCCAGAGTTCTAGCCCCATGACCGACAAAAAAAGAAAAGAAAAAGGAAATTAAGAATCCAGGTTTATACTGTCACTCTGTTTACACACGTGGCAGTATGCCCCCATATCAGCACAGCAGCTGCCTTTCTCAGCTGCTTCTTTGCAGACATAGCCCTGGACATTCTTGGCACAGTCCATAGGGCAGTAGGAGCAGCAGCTCTTCTTGCAGCCGGTGCATTTGCATTCTTTGCACTTGCAGGCACCAGTGCAGGTACAGGGTTTTTCAGTGGTGCAGGAGCAGCTGGGGTCCACGGCAGGCAAGAGCAGTGACGGGAATGTAGAAACAGATGCGCTTGGAGCAGCTGGATTTTGGATTGGAGGAGGTGTGGACCACATATTTACTTGATAAATGCATTTTAAGTAGGTCTTACTAGTCTGCATAGGTATGCAATTATTCTCCCCCTCCCCCATTTTACTAATGAGGAGCCTGAGGCCCGAAGAGGTTAAGTTCTTGCTTGGTGTCCCAAAACGAGGGGATGAGGATTGGAACTCAGGAAGTTCTGTAAACTACTACAGAATACTGCCCCCTTTGATAAGTACATGAGTAACCAGGCCAGAAAGTGAAACACACACCCAGGGTGACTGAAACAAATTGCTATATAGAAGTCCCAACCTCTGGTGAAGGAAGGGGATGGTGGGAAGGGCAGACTCCTGGGAGAGGAGAGCATTTGAGTTGGGTTTTACAATGTGGATGAGATTTCCACCAATGATCACAAGGGAGACGACAGAGGACAGCACTCCAAATGAAAAATGAAGGGTATATTCAGAAGACTTTAACAATTCCAGTTTGCTGGAATGGGTGGCAAAGAGTCAGGAGCAAGGCTCCTGACACAAGTTGTCTGACGGTCTTGTTAAAATGCAGCTTCTGACCAAGGAGGGCCACAGAGTCTGCCCCTGCTGATGCCAAAACTTCTGGTCTTGGACTGTACAGAGCGGAGGGTCTTTGCTTTCCTGCTCAGCTGTGTGGACTTGACTTGGTAAGTCTAGGATGGCACAGTTGGATTTTATGCAGGGAAAGAAAGCTTTAGGAAGATGGTGTGGTGATAGTAGTGTAAAATGAGCTGCGGCGAACTGCAACAAACTGGGTTGGGTGTCTTAAGCTCCTCATTTGTAACCCTCAGAACTCAAAATCCTAATGTAGCCAGGAAAACAGAAACCACAGAGACAATTAACAGATAATTTAGCCCTAAACCTCAGATGACCACTTACTCACCAGAGATGTCTAGAAACTGCTCTGTTCCCTTCCTCCAGGACTGGCCACAGGAACGTAGGACCTATTCTGCTAAATGGGAAAAGGAGATGAGATGTAGGCTTGGCTTTGGAGTCACCTCCAGTGGGCTTATCTACATTGCAGCTGGGCCTATCACCCAGCATACTCTGGGTCACTTTTCCACATTGGTAGAACTGTTCAGGGAATGAAAAATGCTGCTTATATCAGCTTGGAGGTGGGGGTGGGGGAAACAACCCCAAAAGCAACCATAATCAGGAAATTAAATCTGTGGCTTAAAAAAATTCCCCACTGCTTTCTGGCTTATATTTATCTCCCAACTGGGATCTCTCCCTGAGCCTCGGGGCCTTCCTTCCCACCTTCTCTTTCTCTGGTTGTCCCAATGACTCTCCCTTCCAGGCCTGCCCTGCTCTTCTCTCTCCTTTTCTTCTTATCCTACAGGGCTTCTAGCTGGTCACCACCCCCTCCCTCCTTTTTTTTCCTTCTGGCTGGGCTCCTCCCTGTAGCTTAAGGCTTCTTCTTCCTGTCTTCAGGCCTCCAGTTTTTCCATAGCCCCAAGGAAGCATGTGTCTGTCTCACTTCCCATCAGGGAATCCTAAATGGTGAATAGGCCCTTTAGAACAAGCCCCGGAGGGGACTTGGCTGGGGTAGTGGGGGGTGGGGTGCTGGGGACCTGGCAAGGCCATACAGAAGCCCATTCATTGATAGGCAGCCCCTCAACACACAACCTGGTCCAGCCTTCATGGCTCCGGGCAGAGAGAGGCATCCCTTGAGGCAGTGGCCACCATGAATGACCTCAGTGTCTGCAGCTGGTGGGGGACATTGCCCTGCAGCCTCCAAATCCTTTGGGCCCATCAGCCCCACCATTGGTGCAAATATATTCGTCTTGAAAATAATTTGTCAGCACATCTCCATCAGTGGTGCTGATTTCATTAATTGGAAGAATTAGTTCTTTGTGGCCAATGGAAGAATATGAAGCCAAAACACACGAAACGCTTTTCCCTAGTGACCCAGAGACCCTTGGACGAACTCCTGGGTGCCATGAAAATGGATCGTTTTGCAGAAAGAATGCCATTGGTTGTTTATTTAACATCACTCCCCATCCCCCCCCCCCCCCCAAAGACCTTTGAATTGCTCTCACATCTGGCTGCTTTTTCTTCCTTTATGTTTTTTTGTAGAGCCAGGGCAGGGAGGAAACTTCATCAGTCTGAAAACATCCAGCAGCAAAGTGTAAATTAAATGTGCTGAGAGGCCAGGAGAGGGGAAATCTTACCTCCTGAAGTGGAAAGTATGGGGACTATGTCTTCACCCTCATTCCACAGGGCCAGACCTAGTTCTGTCCCCTGCATCTGCCACTAGGAGCTATATAATCTTAGGCAAGGCTTTTGCCCCATCCTAGTCTCAGTTTCCTCTCTGGTAAAATGAGTTGATGCACACAGTCTCAGTGGGCTGTGAGAGGATTAATGTATATAAAGTATATGGCTCATAGTAGATACTTGGTTGATGGTTGCTATATTATTGTTGTTGGGATCAAGACCAGAATAGATTCCCAACTATTCTTACATCTGACACCTCCCATTCAGGAAGGCAGATGGGTAAAATGATGTCCAAAGCAGGGAGACAGATGGACAAGAAAGGATGATCAAGAAGGTTGGATGGAATGACAGCCCAGTCAGGTGATGGGCAGATGGAACATCTCTTGGGATAGGCAGATTTATGACAACCCAACAGGATATAGAGCTGGTTATCCTGTGGGAGGGACAGATGGATGAGGGTCCAATGGGGGAGACAGATAGATGACAAGCTAAAGTGGAAGACAGATGGATGACAATGTTCGGTGAATAGGGAGAACAGGGGTCGCAACACTGTATAGAGAGGAACAGATGGGCAGCATGCTGATGACGGGGCTGGGCTTCCTGTTTAGTCTCTAGTTTTTAGGCCTGGAAGTCTCAAATTCATAAGCACCTCAGGGGTTCTGTGGGTAAGAAGAGAAGACAGAGGGAGAAGGAGAGGGAAGACAGGGAGAAGGAGAACGAGATGGAGAGGGAGAGGGAGGTAGTACATACCTAAGACATTAAATACCGGGGTCAGTCTGGCCTCTGTCCACACCCTCCCTCCTGCCCCCATGGATCCTCCCTGGGTGGCCCCAGAGATAAAGGAGGGAGGAGGAGGAAGAGGAGGAGGAAGAGAAGGAATAGGAGAAATAGGAGGAGATGGAGGGAGAAAGCTGTTAGTTGAACAAGGGGAAATAAAAACTGGCTAAAAGTTTTATTTATTTAAAATAAAGGTTCAGCTATGCTTGACTGTAAACATGCAGGCCTGTCCCTCCCTCCCTGGCTTTTCTGTGCAGAGGGCTTAGACCACACAGCAAGCTAGGGGCAGGAGGCCAAGAGAAGGCCAGCATAGGTTTGGGGAGGGGGAAAGACTTGGGTGCCCTAGTCTCTATAGGCCACTCTGCAATTCTGACCAGCCCACAGCCAGGCTGGTTTTTGGCTCCCAGCCCTTTATACAAACTAGCAAATCATAGCTTCAGGCCTACATAAAGCACACACAGTCCACCACATAGGGAATAAGGTAGACAAGTGCTTAGGCACTTGCAGATAGGCAGGTCTGTCTCTCTGCTCTGTCTCTGTGTGTCTCTTTGTCTGAGGTAGCCCAGCAGGGTCCTAGCAGAGATGGGACAGACTCCCGCTGGGAGTCACCTCTTCTATTTGAGGAAGAAATCTTTACTTGTCTTTTCTTCTCTCCACCTGACTTCTTTCATGGATTTCAGTGACTGAACCATTTGGGTGGCCTGTAAGATCCCCTGAGCTCCCTGGAGAAGGGAGAGAGTGTGGATGGAGAAGAATTTAGAATAGAGATAGTCTGGAGACCCTTTCTTGAGAGGTCTTTGTGAGGAGGTGGTTAGGGCTGTGTTGGTGGCCTGGCTAGCCAGGGAAGGGCTGTGGTATGCAGGGTCAGAAGGGAATAGGCAGGAAATGTTTGTGATAAGAGGTTTTCCCTCTTGCAAACTCCCCTTGTTTCGAGAGCCAGCTGTAGGATAGGGGCCGAAGGGCTGAGCTAGGCTGGGTGCTTTAGAGGAGACTGCTCCTAGAGTTACCCTTGGGGATCATACTGCCAGGATCATACAAGCCAGGACCCCAGGGTTCCTAAAATGACCCTGGGAGCCCAGCTAGAGCTGCTTCCCTTTGGGATGGGGAATTTCAATCAGACTTTATAAAGTCAAATCAGCACCCCTGCCCAACCCACTCCAAAAAAGGAAAAGCAAACTGAACAAAAACCCCTCATTCCTCTGATTTCATAAATTTAACTTGCTGAAAGGGTGGAGGGCAGGTTTAGGACCATAGTCTGGGACCCAGGGAATTTCAGGTCCTATATGGTTTCTAGTGAAACTTACTCATTCATATGCCCAGTAAAAATGGAAAGTGGACTGTTGTACAACGATTATGTGGATGTTTTGAGGAGAAATCAAACTACAAGAGGTCAGCTGTGGTGGGGTAGGGGTGGGGGTCCAACCAAGTCCTCAGGAACTGTGTCAGGTAGCCATCTGTGGAAGTGGATGCGTATACCTCAGGCTCCCACTGTCTCCTTCTCACTCCAGGCCCAGTGATTGTACCGTCTTTGGTGACTTGGACAGCGAGCTGGAAGTGCTGAGCTGGAAAACCCCCACCGGTGGGTGAGGCTGGGGCCTCTCTCTGTTGTACCCATGCCTCTTCTTAAGGATTAGCAGCTTCTATCTGTCCCTGGGGGCTACACTGTAAATGTCTATGTAATGCTTATTTGTGGTTGGCAGAAGATGGATTAGGAAGGAGCTAAACAAAGCAAGAGGAGGCTGAGCTCCCCCCTGCTCCTCTTGAGGTGATTGGCATGATGTGTGACTGTGTGTGCTCACGCACACACACACACACACACACACACACACACACACACACACACACACGGGGTGGAGGTGCACATGTGCCTCTTTTAGAAAGAATGTAGTAACAAGTGCACAGGAGGGATAATTATAAGAGAGAGTGAAGATTAAGTCATTGATAGCCAGAACTGGAAAGAGGCAAGACTCAGATGGAAAAATAGGAGTCAGTGATCTACAAATTCAAGACAGTTA